GGAACCCAGAGTAGCAGGCTGGCCTGGGTCCTCCCCCTTGCACTGCACCTGGCCGTGGTGGAGCATGACCAATACAGACTGCAACTTGCCCCTGAAGTGAGGGGCTAGACTTTGGGTTGTGGTTGGTCCCTGCGGTGGGTGCAAGCCAAAGGACTGCTGTGACCCCCAGAAGGGGGTTCAGAAAGAAGTAGTGGGCACTTCCAGAGGGCAGTGTCCTGAAAAGGATACCCCCAAGCAGGGGAGCAACGCGGGTCCGAAACAGAGGAGTAGAGCAGACAACAGGCAAAACAACCCACAGAGGGCGCTCCGGAGCTGGACTGAGCTAATTCCTGCAGCAACCAGCAGGAGGCATCAGAAGTGATGAGTCCACGCCATTACACGGTGGCATGTGTAAGCTGCATTCATGAAGCAGGACCCCATTGGACTAGGCACTGTACAAACACAGAACATCAATCCCCTGTCCCAATGAACTTAGCCTTAAAGAAGGCAACATTATTCTCAAGAAACAGCAAGTACATGTTGTCTGCCATTAAGTTTACTGTCAACTAATAAACATATTTCAAAGATATTTTTCACTTTAACAGTATCCCTTAAAAAAGAAAATCTTTAGATACCAAAATCAAGGTAACAAAAATAATACTTAGAAAATACATGGATCAGAGTTAAGGTTGTTGTGGTGAAATATGCATTTCATTGTACTTGATGAGAATGCATGGGCTATGTAAGATTTGTGATGTCCTTAACTACTCATTTCCTTGCTCTTCTGTGCATGAACTTTGCAAATAATAAGAAAGCAAATAGGGCTTGGCACAAAAATCTAAAACCTTTTTTATTGTTCCAAAATTCATTTTTGGGGACTCAAACGATACACAAATTCAGATTGAATTCAATGAATAGTTTCCCCTTAAACAAACCTACCTGTTTTTTTAATTGAAACATTAAGTTTTGACATTTTGTTTCAGTTTTTCATTTTGAAATGCCATTTTGTTTTCCTATTTTGACTAATTAAAAAAAAACAACATAAAGGGTGGAAAATACCTGAAAATGGCTGAACCGAAACAAAAAGCTCAAAGTTGTTTCAAGTCAAATGAAATGTTTTGGTTAATTAGCAATGACATCTGTTGGAGGTTTTTCATTCAACAACATTTTTTGGGGAAGGGGGAGGTAAGAATCTGGTTTGATTACACCAGAAACATGTGTTGGGTTTTTTGGTTTGTTTGTGGAGGGGATGATTCTGCCTCCAAACGGAAGAAACAACCGTTCTGTCATTGGAGCTGAGTGGGGAGCAAACTGTCATTCAGCCGAACTCTCTTTAAATAACTTTTCCTTTGCTTTTGCAATTTCATTTTTTTATGATGCCTCCATATAACCTGTCAATGCTCAAGTCTCTGAATCTTCTCCATGGGAAGCTTATTTAACATTTACGTTTGAATTATAAATATCTGACTCTAAATGTTACAGGAAAACATACTTATTATTCTAAAGCACTTAAGCAGTCCATTAGGTTGCTCTTCCATAGATTTTTTTTTCACTCTAGTCAAGATATACATCCAGTGATTTACAACTTTCAGAAATGCTATTTCATTCCAGTTGCTAATAGATATATGGCCCAAACAAGTAAAAAATTCTCCAGCCAGGAATGGAAAGCTTCTTAATGCATACTATTTTTAAGGACAAAAAGTAAAGGGGAATATGTAGCTACTGAATTTCTAATGTAGTTTTTCAAAGGGCTGTCTGAGGCCTCAGTTTTGCAAAGCCTTACATATGTGATTAACTTCATGCATGCTTATGGATAATGCTAATTTACTGACTTCTTTTTGTTTTTTGTTTTTTTGCCATGATTATGCTTCCTTTTGGGAAGTTTCAAAAATATTACGATGGGGTGAGGGAAGACTTTTTGTCTCTGCCTTTCTATTCCACTCCTAGTGCTAAAGAAGTGAACTTAACTATTTTTGACTAAACATTCCAAAAATTGCATCACTCAACAGAGACCAGACATGGAAGACTTCTGCCTAAACTCACAACATTCCAAAACTTTCACAACTTAACAGGGAGTGTTCAAGGACAAGAGGTCTGCCAACCTTAATTTACAGTGGCTTTTATGCCCTTGAGCTATAATTCTTATTATAGTGTTCAAGGCTATTTGTAGTTTTAAAAAATACTATAGTATGCTAAGAGATCCTATAGCTTAATACCACAAGATTACTCTTATAAGATTGACATAAATGTGCAGATTAATTGGAAAAATACCTCTTCTAAAAGCAATGTGAATGTAATGCTTAGTTTGACACTCCTTTTTGCAGATGCCTCAGTATTGTCTAGTCAGACATCACTCATATGAGGCAGCTTCCAGCCCTATGGGACAGCGTTGGTTGTACAGTCATATGCATTCTGTAACTTAATCTGGAACAGGACAAGTATTTCCCTCAACTCCAGGCTTCTTAGTCAATAGCAAGAACATCTCCATTCATTATGGACTGGGTTTGACTTAGCTATTGTGCCTTTGTGTGTAATTTCCTTGGCTTTTTTTAAAAAAACAACACAAATAAACAAATTCCACTATATGGTATCTTATTGACATGCACATTAGTCAACAGTAGGGTTGGGAGCTTTAGATCTACCCCACACAGCTCTGCCACCTGAGCTCATGAAGTAACTGACTGAAGTAGTAGGTTGTCATCCTCTGTGTTGTACCAGCACTAAAGCGGGGTTGGGACACCTTGCCAATGTATTTCACAGATATTTGTTGACAACAGAAGAATGATAAGACTTGGGAATCATGGGTTCCATTCCAGCCTCTGGAGAGGAGTGTGCTGTAGGGGGTACAGACTCTTTTGTGACCCCCCCCCCCGCCTGCAACTTTTACCCCCTTCTTCCCTGGACCCTTGGATCTTTCCCTCCTTGCAGTTCTGTCTCTTCCCCACTCCTGGATCCCAGTCCCATTCTCCTTACTTATCTCCACTCCTCAGGTTTCTCAGCTCTGTCCCAGTGTCCTTGCCTAGCCTGTCCCAGTTTTCCCCAGCTCCTCTTCTGACAAACCAGCAATCCCAGGTTTCATTTCCCTCTATCAGGCTCCAGTCTATCCCCTGCACCAGGTCCTTGTCCTTCCCTCTCTACTCAACCTGCTCTCCCTCTGTGTCCAGCTCTAATCTCCTGTGCATTTGAATCTGATAGCTGCTTCCTCCTCCTTGTCACTACCTGGGCATCAGCAAGAGGGCCTTCAGAGCACAGGGGAGACAGTCTCCCTGCCCTCCATTCCAGTGCCTGCAACTGCAGGGAACCTTCTATTTAGTGCCTTGTAGTCCTGGGCAGGAGGCTCCACGGGGAAGGAATCTTATGAGAGTTCAGTTGACACTCTAGCAAGCCTGTGAGCATGTATGAACGGTGATTTCCCCACCGCCACCCAAAAGGCTTGTAACTTGGTCAAATTGGGATGGATTTTAACAGGGATGACAAAATGCAGATCCCTGCTCGAAACACCACCCTACTGCTAGAAGTGAAGTCTCTGAGACGCTCCCATGCCCCCATGCTTTGGCACAAAGGAAAGGTCAGTGGGAATCTTTAACATGAGCAAAACACTTTCCCCCGAGCCCCATTCTCGGATACGACTGAATCGTTCTGACTGAAATTTTCCAAACCATTTCAGCCCAAGGCAAGCACCTGACAGAAAATGTCAGCCCCAATGGTTAAAGTTTGGTAAAGTTATAAGCAACTGAAAATAGGGTCTTATTGTGGGAGGCGTTGGGTCATTTTAATAATGGCGGTGCTACCAGTTCTGCCGGTAGTGTACCATAGCAACAGCTCCTTTGCTCATGTCTGCTCCCCTGTCCCCTATACCCAAATGTCCTACTGTTCACTCCCCTTCCTTTCTCATATGTTGTTTCCCCTCCCACCACCACCACCTCCATTAAGTTTGGATGTTTGCTTCCTTTCTATCTGACACCCACTCCACCAATCCCATGATTCCAGACCGTGAGTTGCAATGCAGAGAGCACATCTCTTGAAGTTATTAAGGTTTCCTGCTTGGTACTATTTACCCCCCAGCTGTCGGGAGGAAGAGGACAAGTCCACCAGCAGTCTGCATCTGAAACTGCTGCCATTGCAGTGTGTCAGCAGGCCCAAAGCATTCCAGCTCCCTCCGCCTGTGACCACCAATGGTGGGGGGTGGAAGTGGGACCTTCTGAGTGAAATGGACTCTCTCTCATGCCTCTTGTGTCAAGATTACAATACTCTCAGAGCCTCGGTTGAAACGGAACTCAAGTCAATTAACAAATCAGCTGGAGTACGTTAAACGTTCTCCCTTTGTTTCCTGGTGTGTTTTGTCAGAACAGGCAGGATTAGGTGGCTGAGCCATCCGCAGACACTGCCCTCCCCATTAATGAGAGCCTTTTAGAAGAAAGATCTGTGGCGGTTCAGTGATGAGACAGAACACAGCTTTTTGCAAGCAAGCAGGCTGGTCAGCTGAGATGGGCGTTCTCTGCCCCCCCCCGCCTTCCACCTTCTCCTTTTATTATATTTCTCCCCCTAAGCATTACACACTGCTACACAAAGGAATGTGTGACGTTAATTCATATACTTAGTTACCATCCCCTATCTACTACAATCCTGGTTCTCAGGCCTTGAGCCCAGGCTAAGAAAGCCTCCCACCGTTGCTGTCCAAACAATCAAGTTCTCATGGTTCATATCTAGCCCTTGTCCTTGGATAGAGCAATGTGTGCATTGCTTCTATGAAACAGTCAGGGTGTGCCCCGCCTGCTTCCAGGTGGAATAGCTAAACATTAACCCTTCATCTCCCCGTTTTTTATTTATTAATATTTGGCCATCTCATGGTAGCCGTCAATTTGTTTTGTCATGCTATTTAACTCCCAGACAGACAAGGACATAACCTGCGGAGCTTTCCAGGGCAAAATTTTACAAAATCTTAACAAGGAAAGAATACATTGTACACAGCAGCAGCAAAAAATAAGCCCAATGATTACAAACACAAAATAACCAAAAGCTCAACATCTGCAATATAATCATCTAAAAGGGGTACACTTCTTTTAGGAAATAGCAGGCACAAAAGGCACACAATCATCACAGAATTAGCAGTGATTTGGGCGAGAATCGCCACAAACAAAGTCTCAGGAGTCTCTGGCTGTTGATCTGCTGCCAGTCTTCGTTGAGCCGCGGCGACCAATGCTTTTACTGCTCCCCATGTCACGGGCTGGCTTGGGACGCTACGCCTCCTCCGTTTCCGTCCCGTCGTTGTCGACTCGGGGGGCAACGCGGTCTCCTCCAAGGTCAGCTGAACTCCGGTATGGGATTCGACAGTCCCTGGTGCCATGCCATGTTGTTTAAGTGCCGGTCGCACACACCGAGCTGGAACCCACAACGGTCCTGCAGGGAGAGACACAGCAGCATATCCCCGACCCCAAGTGATTAGAGGTACTGGGCCCAGCCACTGTGGATCGGGCAGCTGACAGTAATAGACACGTGGTCTTTCCAGTACCTCAGATTTGTGAAAATGCCGATCCGCAGGGGTCTGCTGATCTGCATTCAGTGTTAAATTATTTAAAGTAAACAAGAGGATATGCATTTGTTGTTAAATGTCTCCTAAGGTTCGGAGACGCAGCTCCCCTTGTTTTAATTGTTTATCTAGCAAGATTTTGAGTGTGCGATTGGCACGTTCAACAATGGCTTGGCCCGTGAAATTATAAGGGATTCCGTGTGTAAGACGGACGTCCCAGCGGGCACAAAAGGTGGAGAGGGCTGCAGAGCAGTAGGCTGGGGCATATCTGTTTTAATTTGGCAGGGGCGACCCATAACAAAAAGGCAGGCCAGCAAATGGTGAATAACTTTGTTAGTGGCTTCCCCACATTGTGGGGAAGCCCAAAAAAAAACTTAAATAAATATCAACGGAAACATGTAAAAACAAATAGGGGCGGAATTGTGGCACATGAGTAACATCCATCTGCCACAGCTGATTTGCTGCGGTACCTCGGGGGTTAACGGCATAAGAAAAAGTAGGAGCAGCAGCAGCACAGTGGGGGCAGGAACGAACAATGGAACGTGCATGATCAGCAGGAATGTGAAACTGCCGGGCCAAAACAGAGGCAGACTGATGAAAAAAGGCATGGCTTTAAATGGGGTCAGAAAAAAGGGAATTTACCTGACCACGCAACGCGCGACCGGCGCGTGCATTGCCCTCAGTGAGTGGCCCAGGCAGAGGGGTATGACTGCAAATATGAGCAACAAAATAAGGGAAATGACAAGTGGCAAAAAGGTGCTGCAAAAACAAAAACAGGCGAAGGAGGTCTGCATCAACCTGAGGGGTAATGAGGGCAAGGGGTAAATGATCAATTACCTAATAAACATAATAGGTATCCACAATTAAATTAAAGGGACAATCAGCAAAAGGTTGAAAGACCAAAATAACAGCAGCTAATTCTAAGGGCAAAGGGGGATGGTAAAAAAAACAATCTTTTAAATCTAACACACAAAGTTGATCGGTTTGAGGAATTAAATTTGGATTTGGCAAGCCAAATTGCAAGGGGCCCATAGGTTGGATGCGTTTATTTATTTCCCTTAAATCATGTAACAGTCGCCAAGCACCCGATTTTTTCTTAATAACAAACACCGGGGTGTTCCAGGGACTAGTGGAGCTCTCCAGTCGCTGTGCTTGCAAATGCTGCTGCACAAGCGAATGAAGTGCTTTTAGCTTTTCTAGAGGGAGGGGCCACTGGTCAATCCATACGGGCTCTAAGGATTGCCATACCAAGGGTAAGGCGGAGGGCACGGTGAGTGAGGGAGGGTTTTGGGCCATCAGATGTTAATATCGAGGGTGGTGTCTAACTTTGTAAGTAAATCACGGCCCCAAATATTGAGGTGGACAGGGAGCACAAAAGGGCGGATAGTAGCAAGGGTACGGCCTCCCGGTTTAGAGACCGTGACCCAAGACAAACTTTGGCGCCCGGGTTTACTACCCCTGATCCCCCACAATTCTCTAGAAGGAACCGTAGGCCAACTAACCGGCCACTCCAGATCACGAATCACCGTAACGTCAGCTCCAGTGTCCACCAGCCCTGTAAAAGGAACATCATCTAAGAGAAGTGTTAACTGAGGCTTCGAGGGGCGGACTGACATTGTCAGAGCAACAAGTGGAGAAGACGCGCTGTGAGACGGCGAGTGAGACAACGTCGATCCAAAGCCGCCTCCGCCCCCGAGTTCGATCCTCGGCAGCTGGCACCTGATAGGGGACTAAAATCAATTGTGCAATTGACCGTCCACGCGGGAGCGACTGTGGAAGATGAGTCCACACCTGAACCTTAATAATGCCAGTGTAATCAGCATCAATGACCCCTGGAATGACAAAAAAGCCCTGTTTCCCAGCATGTGAGCGAGGGAGAACAAGACCCACAAAGCCGGCAGGGAGAGGTCCCGTCACCTGTGTAGGTATGGCACAGACCTCCCCTGGCAGCCAAAAGTCAGTGTCCTCCTGCATGATCAAATCAAGCCCTGCACTTCCAGCAGTCGCCGCCCTCATAGAGTCTACGGATTCCAAGGCAGAGGAGCGATTGCCTGAGTAGGAAACACCCCCGTTTGGCCCTGGGTTTGGGGGGACCCGTCACGCGGTTTCCCGACCCGCTACGACACTGATTAGCCCAGTGATAACCTTTCCCACACTTGGGGCACTTCTTTGAGGGTCGGGCTGGTGCCTTAGATGAGCGGCACTCCCGCTGAAAATGACCCTCCTTACCACAGCGGTAACAACGCTTCCCCTCCTTCCCAGTTTTTCTGAGGGCGGCAGCCAGAACTCCAGCCTTGTGGGCTTGTGTGCCAATGTTCTGGCATGCCCGCAGCATGTCTGAGAGCTCTAAAATACCAGAGGCTTGTGCTGCCTGGAGAGCACGGCGGCAATCCTCGTTTGCATTTTCAACTGCCAATTTTAACAGGAGCTCGTGAGCTGCCTCAGTGTTATCCACCGGCCGGAGGATAGCCTCATGCAATCTGTTGGTAAAATCCAAAAAGGACTCTGAGGCACCCTGACGGATACTGACAAAGCTTTTGGTAGGCTTGCCTGAATCCGGGACCTTCTTGAAAGCATGCTGAGCACAGGTGGAAATAATGGGGAAGACGGCCTGAGGGAGTTGAGACTGCATCTGAATAGTAGCAAACGGTCCCTCCCCTGCCAATTGCTCATAAATGATACCGTGCGCTGCATGTACCTGAGCTTGGCGTTCTGCCATCTGCCGATACTCACTAAGCCAAATAACATACTGACTAGGTGACAACATCATGCGCAGCAGCGTTTTCCAATCCTCAGGGATTAGGGAGTACCCAGTACCTATCCCTTCAACGAGACCACGCACAAAGGTGCTAGTCAGGCCAAACTCACGAATTGCTTTCCTCACATCTCTAACCACCGAGTATGACAAAGTGGTCCAGGTGCCCACGGGGTTGCCCTGGTCATCATTCTGCCAGGTCACCGGGCAAACTGAGACCAGATCAGCCAGCTCCTCCGCTGTAAGATCTGATCGAGCTTTCGCCGCGTGAACCATTTGTTGCACCAGCGAAAGCTTCTGAGCAGATGCAGATGACCCTCCGGGGGGCCCCACGGGGGGAGGGTGATCACACACCGGCTCCGGTGGGGAAGGCCAGGGAGGCGGTGGTAATAGAGGCACTGGGGGCGAAGCAGGGGGAGGGATGGCTGCAGGAGCGAACGGGGGCGGCGGGATCGGCAGCCCCTCTGTTGGTGCTGGAGAGGGCCTTTCCGAGGCAACACGCTGTGTCGCATCGCCAGGAGGGGGGATGGCTGCAGGAGCAGACAGGGGTGGTGAGATCACCAGCCTCGCGAGGGAGGGCCTGTCGGAGGCGACACGCTGTACCACATCGCGGCAGAGGTGCCAGGCATGTAAAGCCTGCACGGGTGCCCGAGGCTCTTTGTGCAATGTCTGGCCCAATCGCTCCCAGTCTGCTAGCTTAAGGCTTCCGGCTTCAGGATACCACGGGCACTTGGCACACACCTCCTGTAGCAGGAGAGTAAGTGCTCGAGCCGGGCAGTCATGCTGAGCCTTACGCAGCAAATACTGCAGCTCATTGTGGTGTTGCACTTGCAAAGCAGAGAGGGAGCTTCCCATACTTACCACAATGAAAAATACTCACCGGGATCCGCGAAGCGGATGAGTGACGCGTCTGAAACCCTTGCCGGGCGAGGTGAGTGCTGAGGGCCCCACGTTTGGGCGCCAGTTGTGGCGGTTCAGTGATGAGACAGAACACAGCTTTTTGCAAGCAAGCAGGCTGGTCAGCTGAGATGGGCGTTCTCTGCCCCCCCGCCTTCCACCTTCTCCTTTTATTATATTTCTCCCCCTAAGCATTACACACTGCTACACAAAGGAATGTGTGACGTTAATTCATATACTTAGTTACCATCCCCTATCTACTACAATCCTGGTTCTCAGGCCTTGAGCCCAGGCTAAGAAAGCCTCCCACCGTTGCTGTCCAAACAATCAAGTTCTCATGGTTCATATCTAGCCCTTGTCCTTGGATAGAGCAATGTGTGCATTGCTTCTATGAAACAGTCAGGGTGTGCCCCGCCTGCTTCCAGGTGGAATAGCTAAACATTAACCCTTCAAAGATCTCTTCAGATTTAAATTAGCAAATAGAATATCCATTGGATGCAGCTCTGGTGGGAAGGAGCAACAATTGTTTACCTTTCAATGGCTGTTAATAAGAACCCCACCGGAGGCAAAGGGATGAGCTTGAGCTCATTAACCTTTGCTGTTAAAAGGAGGTTCCTTTCCCCAGTATAATTTAGAAAACACAAATCAGAATGACACTATGACACATTAAGGTGGCTATAGAGGTGCATGTGGACACAAAATGAGGTTGGAGGAAGAGAGGTTAGTTTGAATGACTGCACTTTGTCACTTTTTGAAACAAACCCACAGATACTTTATTTTTAGTAACTTAATATTTTTTTTCATATTCAAACAACATTCATCCATTAGTTGGAGACCAATGCAAAGTAATAAAAGCAATCCAGGTTTCCAGAAGGGATCCTGCTTAGGACAAATTCTGAACTATTTATTTCCTTCCAGGGCCATGATTTGAACTAACACAAGCGGTGGTCCCAGAGCCATCCTACAAGACTAGAGGTCAGTGTTCTAAACTAGTTAATCGTTCATTTCACATAATAGTGCATACACAAGGAAGATTCTTCATGCCCCTGACAGAACCTAAGATGTACTGGAGTTTGTTTTGTTTGTCATTGTTTCCCAACACAAATGGCAAAAATGCATATCTTCAGTCTGGATGACTTCTCTTAAATTACAGCAAATGACAAACAGACAGAACAAATAGACACACTGAGATTTTATCTTTAGACTTTCATCATGAAAACACTGAAGCATGTCAGAAACTTTACACGTCATTAGTCTCCAGTACTTCTTTGAAGTCAAGGAATATCTGGTTACTCAGAGTTGCAGGATTGGGCTTCTGCACTCAGATTCTCCATCTTAAATATCTTAAAAGCTCTTCTCCTTAAACAGCGAGACAGACTTCTAGTTAGTCCATATAAAGATGGACAGTACACAGAAAATAGAATTCCATGCCACCGTTCTAATTTAGCTGCAAATGATTTATAGAAACATCTTTTTACCAGTGGAAACTAATGACATCTGAGAGTGCGGTGGTAAAAGTGGCACCTAAAGGAATTTTCAGGCCTGTTTTTACAGCATTCTGTAACGATCCTACTGTATCTGACTCAAGGACCTTAAGGAGCCTTCACTTCCTCTTTTATTTACTTTTTTGATTACTGAGTGTTGAAAACAACTTGCTTAACAAAATGTCTCCTCCGCCTGCCTATGCTGTACAAAATGCAATGGTCAGAAAAGTGAATTTGTAAAATGGTAGGTAGCTCTGGAAATTATGGGGGGGAAAAGTAACTAACTTTCTCAGTTTCCCAGTCAGAAGTGTTCCATGCCAGCACTGCAAAATAAACCTGGTGATGGGAAGAATTCATGTGTAGTGTGTTTGCCTCTTACAACATCACTGCTAATATAAATTCTGCAATTGGAAGTTAGCAATTTTGTTGATATGTCCACCTTGCTTATGCAGAGTTACATTGGCTCTCCGGTGCAGTAAAGAGGAGTAGAAATGTATTTGCCCGTAAAGTAAGCAGATATGACTCAAAGACACACAGGGAGAAGATAATCTGAGCCAAAGATGAAAATGTGTGTTTTATGGAAATTTTTTTCAGACTAAAATAGCTGTTTAAAGTGCAATTACGGTCTGAAAACTGTCTAAAGGACAACTCAGTGTTCCACATTTAAATGTCTTCAATTATTTTTTATTTAAAATTCACTCACTTTCCAGTTAATGGAATTTTCTTTTTCAAATGCCAACCCTATGAATTCACCTGGCCAGTAAGATAGATTCCCCTCAGTTGCTATAAACTATGGTGGATCTCCATAGACATCAGCAGAGCTGTGGTGATTTATTCCAGCTGAAGATGCGCCCCTGCAACTGAAAAAGCAATATATGTGTGCATGGAAATAGGTTAACCATCCCCTTAAGTCCTTGGCAACAATTCAAAGGTGATATGAAGTTGTGTAAGTAACTCACATGCATCCAACGAAGTGGGTATTCACCCATGAAAGCTTATGCTCCAATACGTCTGTTAGTCTATAAGGTGCCACAGGACTCTTTGCTGATCTTACACTAACTTACTCCTGTAGGGGAATCTAAACAGGTGTCACTTGAGTTCCACAAAGCAAGAAGATGCAAGTCAAAATAGAGGAGGGCCTTCTTAAATTTACACCTTTCTGCATCCCTCCCCACCCCTCAAGAGCTGGCCTTGTAAGTCCAGTGATCAGAAGAATCAGGGGTGGAGCTCTGTGCTCCCTCTATTGGGGAGACAGGGAAAAGCCAGCCCCTCCTGGCATTATTTACATCTTGTTTAGTCCTAATTCCACCTACTGAGAATTGTTGTTTTAGATGGGTATTTATTTAAACAGATAATTTAAGGGGATGATAAATAATTATCCATACCACCTAATAGAAGGGCATTGGAACTGAGCGGGATATACTCTGGGTGAGTGGTCACCATAACTTTACTAGAAAGAACTTTGCATAATGAAGCTTGGGCACAGGAAAACAGAGTAAGAAAGAGCTATGGTTGGAAACTAGGAGTGCTCATCTAAGGTGTAAGGAGTCTGTCTTGCTCTAGCTTCCCCATCTGGAGATCCTGTGCCCTGCATGGAGGGATCTACAAGATGACTGGACCATTGACAATGGCAGGGCGGGACAGAACAGAGCTGTCTCCATGGCAAGGCCCAGTGGAGCAATGGTGATCCACGTGGCATTTCCTAACTTTCAAGTGCTTAACTTTGCAGCCTTAATAAGGTTCTTTTAACATAGGGTACGTGGGTTGGGGGATGGGTGGTAGGGAGAGATGTAGGTAGAGTACCAGAAATACTTCCTGACTGTGATCTGTACAAGAGCCTTTCCAAGGGAAGTGGTGGGATCTCCATCATTTGGAATATTTAAAACCTGACTGAACAAATCACTGGAAAATATACCATAGGGAATAATCCTACATTGGCCCTTGGCAGATTGACTTGGTGGGACCCAATGTGCCTCTTCTATCTCTAAATTCTATGACTGAGTATTATCCCCATTTCACAGAGTGGGGAAGTGACTTGCCCAGCATCACACAGGGAGCCAGAGGCAGGAGGAGAACCCAAGCAGACTGATCTGTTGTGTTAGCAGACAGGAAACAGACAGGAAGTGGAGATGATATCACTAAGACTGGGGTTGGGAGTGGGGAGCTGATCAGAGACAGTTCATGATAGTGGGTGGAGGTGCTTTGGGGAAGATTTCTGCAGAAGAATTTGTGTGTGCAGGTTTGACTGCCTCCATTGAAGATAAACAGGATTTGTGTAGGTTTTGCCAAAATATAGATTAAATTACATGCAAAAAATATCCTGATGCGGTGGCACTGATTTCTGAATCAATGGGAAATGGATTCTGGAATTTCCCAGTTTGCCTTCAAAGAGCTGCAGGTTATCAGTGCCTCTGAAATCCCAGCCACGTCTCAGATCCCTAAACTTGAGCCAGATCCATGCCATCAGTTTTTAAGCAGAACTCATTGATTACCATGGGGACTTCTGCTTAAAGATTGGAATGATTCTGGCCCTATAGATTTAGGTGCCTAATTACAGGTATCTCCACTGGAAACTTACGGCCTTAGTTGTTTTCACCTCTTGGCCACCGTTTCTAATGCAATCCATATTGGTTGTGACCCAAAAGGTTATTGTGTGGTGACAGGCTGGGGCTGACGTGCAGCGGTGGGGCAGAGTGGGAAAGATGACTTAGCCACTGCTCATGTTGTACCTGTTCTTTGGATATAAATAGGCCTCTCCGGGAGTGGCCCTCCCCTGCTTTTTATAAGCACTAAATTCAAAAAGTAAATTGAAGACATAAGATAATTGCCAGCTCCGGCCTCTGCAAGCTGCATCTATCTCTGAATTGCTGTTGGCAAAAGTGCCTGGCACAGTGGTGCTTATAGAAACAATAATAAAAAGGATGGCTGGATTTGTAGAATCAACTGGAGATTTTCATTTCCTGCCTTTTGACTGAGACTTTTTTCCTTCTGTATCTATTATCCTCTATTCGTGTGACTCCCATTGACATTCATAGGAGGTGTTTATGCTTCAACTAGAGATTTGAATCCTGGACGGGAAGGAAAATAAGCAGGTGAATTTTCTTTCCTTTGCTCTCAGGAGAGTTGACAAGGATAAACTGGGCCAGTGTCCCAACATAATCTTCATTTCCCCTAAAATGTTTAGTATGCATGATTAGAAGATTTCACTTGTGGGTTAGGGGGATCGTGAGCCTGCTTTCAGTGCTTGTTTCAGTCTTTAGCAGAAGAGAAATTGTATAACCACTTACAATTGTTGGTCTTGATTAAAACCACACAATCTGAAGATGGAGAAGGTCTACTAGGTAATCTAGGCTGTCACTTTGACTTTGCAAAATTGTACGAGGACCAATTAGTGGCTCAACTGATGCCAGAATTAAAGGGTTTATCAACCTTTTCCAAACATTTTATCTGAATTTTTTTTTAGGGACCAAAGCATCAAAATTAGCATAAGATGAGAACCACCTGAAGTTGCCAGGGCTACATATACAACCACAGATGCTGAGACAAAACTAATAAGCCCTCACAATCACATAGGGTTTGCCTATATGAACACTTAGTTTGCAGCAATTTGGGGTGTAAAATCTATCTGGTGTTAGCCTGCCATGCACTAAGGGTATGTCGATGCTGCAGTTAGACATGTGAGCCTGGCCTGTGCTAGTTGAGTAGGGCTTGTGGAGCTTGGAGTGCGGGGCTGTTTCATTGTTGAATAGACCTCCAGGCTTGGGTTGCAGCCCGATCCTTCCACCTGGCAGGATCCTAGAGCCCAGGCTGCAGCCCAACCCGAAAGTCTACACTACAACAAAATGGCCCTGCAGCTTGAGTTGACTGGCACAGGCCAGGTGTGGGTGTTTACTTGCAGTGTAGACATACCCTATGTGTTCATGTGGACCCTGCTGCTGTTCATTAAAAGATCTGTACTGCAC